GTGGCTGGGCTGGGCTGTCACCCCTGGGCCCCTGCCAGCCCGGGGACAGGAGCTGCCACAGCTGCCAGGACCGGGTCACCCTTCTGCCCCTGTCACACAACGGGCTCACGGTGCCCAACACACCCGCACAAGGCTGCTCAGCTTCACTCCAGCTCTCTGGAGTTCCAGCTTTCTGCCTCCATTTTACATCCCCATTAGAAAAATCTAAAAATAGACGGTTGGAATCAATCCCCTTGCAATTTCTCAGATCACTATCACGAACTGGCCTGATCTCTGAGAGTTATTCCTAAAGCGAACTCCTCATTTTACATCCCCATATTTGGCTTTTGTTTCGTTTTTCAGCGGGGAAATCTACTCTGTGTTTTTGTGCTAGAGCAGTAGCTGGAATTATCTCTTTCCTTTTCACCCGGGCCTTACACACATGCTTTCTTAACTGGCGTTTTCCTCACAATTGTTAATCCTGGAGCAGGAATTTCCTATTGCATTCCTCATGGCAGGAGAGCAAGAGGGAGAGGCTGCTCTTTAGTAATATCCTTTTCCACCCTTCCTGTTTCTATAAATTTTTTGTTTAACAGAACAGGGCTGTCTGACAGTGACTTTGCCCCAGCTACAGCTCCCTTGCTGTCCGTGTGTTACAGCCCACTTTTGTAGCCTTTTTTGGGATGGCTTTTCCTTCACCTCCTGCCTCGAGCTGAGGAGCAGGTCAGGTAAGGCCTGTGCCGGGATGTGACACTGCTGCTTCCCTGCTGCTGCTTCCCGGGGCTGTGGTGGGTGCAGGAACACGATGGGGAAAGGACAAGAAGCAGGTTAAAACCTCTCCCCTCTGGAAAGGCACAGAGGCATTTCCCAGGCACAAAGAGCTTAACATATCAAAGAGGGGGAGGTGTCTCAAAATGTTGAGTTTTTCAAAGCCTCCCTGTCTCCCTTTAGTAAGAAGAACAATGGATACTTCAGAGCTCTGTTCCTCTACCTTCATTTATCTGATGGGAAGTGGAGGCCCGCCCTGGTTCACAGCTTTCACCATTATCTCAGGAACAAACAGGTAATTTTCACAGGTGCTGAGTCCAGGCAGCCCACCTTAGGAGTTCACAGGCAGTGGCCCTGAAATGCAAGAACCACCGGATTTCTCCCTGCAAGAGCAGAAGTGCAAGATACGATGTCAGCCCAATTCTCACTGGACCTGGTGACAGTTTGGGCACTGATGTCACTCAGAAGAAGCTGTCTCAGCACTTTCCCCAGCCCCTCAGGAAAGGAAATGAAACAGAATGCCCAAATGAAGGAGTGCTCTGAACTGAGCACTTCCACC